CAAGATCGGTTAACAAAGTTAACACGATAATCTTGGTTAAGATTATTCACTTTTTACAATTCTACCATCTGAACCATTGTGAACCTAATTTTTTTATTAATATGGTAATTAAATAATTAAATTTGTAGTCTCAATAAATGACAACTGTTGGATGTTCAGATCAACGACCAAGATTGGTTAACAAAGTTAACACGATAATCTTGGTTAGTATTTGAACCAGCCCCTATATATATATATATATAGGGGCATGTCCTTTTGTTAACCCAATAATTGGTGTTAACTTTGTGGATCAATCTTGACCCTTGATTCTTAAAATATATGGATGAGATGAATTGTGGCATATTTGTAATTAATTATAAATGAAGGATATCAAAACATAAGTGAACAGAGGTATTTTTAGGAGAGATGTCCAAATCAGTTACAAATCGGTAATTGCTCATTCCTTTTATAGTTCGTAGAATCATCTGTGTTGCATTATGAACACTTATGAATACATTTGAACATATATATAACTTATTGACTAATCTTAGTTCATGACTTTCACATATGAACATAAGGGAACACTTATTTGCACCTAGATGTTGGGGATAACAATGATCCAGATGTTGTACGATAACTTTATCGAACATAAACAACCCCAAATATAGAAACTAACAATATATGTTATTATCTACATAAATGACAAGTTCACAAAATAACAACACGAGAATTTAACGTGGTTCCACACCAAAAAAAAAGAGTAATAAGGTTTGAACTTTTAACCACCTAGGAGAGCAAAGGCCTAGATACCCTAGGTTAAAGGCTCTTTGATCAATATCCTCAATTTGTAGACCTAATATTATAACCATATGTCGGACTTTAATGTTGTTACAACATAAAATGAGACCACCTTGCGATCATTAGCATAGACAGAGTGAAAAAGAAACAAGTAACAGTTACTAGCAACATTCCAAATATATTACCAAAAACTTGAGCCACTGCGAATTTATGCCAGTTTTTTGTACTATAATAGCATATACTTAGATTTGGTTAGAAGCCAATCATGTTATCTTCATATATCATACATCTCTATTTTTCTCCCGTTCAATGGTTGAACCGGTCTTGAGTTGCTCTTGCATCCCCAAATCAATGGTGCCTTTAAAGCCTCTACCTGCTCTCGTGAAATTGACCTTACCTATGATTTTCATCAAATACAGATGGTCAAAACTTTAAAAATAAAATTCAAGAAATTATGTTGTAATGAGGAAATTTATGATTTTCAATGCCCGTACGTACCTTGCCAAGAATGTTCCAAATAACGCCTTCGGTACATGGAGGTGTTGAAAAAGATCCGACGTAGCGGTAGTACTTGCGTGTGTGTTTTCTAATTTGTTTCGTGGTGAAGGTTCCAAGAGGGACTTGAGGTTGTTCGTGAGACGAGCTATGATGAACCACCTTCATCAATTGCGCCAATTTGGATTGTATCTGTTTAATGTCACAAATTAAGCATCGGTTTCTTGTATTTGTTGCCATCTTTGTTGCAACCGAAACCAAACAAACTAATGGTGGCACAATTGAAATGGAAGACTTGTATGCAAAGATGAGAAACGAGTTACCTTAGTGAGAAGAGGGTCAGGGTGACCATACCGATAGAGAACCGCGATAACAGCTATGCCACCATCATCGGCCTTGTGAACCAAATGGAGCTCGGCATCGTATCTATAGAAAGAATATTATTGGAATATGATAATATGAATTTGCAGGTTGACTTGAAAAGTTACAGAATGTTAGCGTTAATGTTTAAGACATCTATTTAAAAAGAAAAAACGGAAATCAAGACATACCGAACACCGTCAAGTTGATGCTCGGAAGGTGAATGCCAATGCATTTGTATGAAACTGAAGTTTTTGTCATTCAATCTCAAGACTCCAACATTCCCATCAAATTTCATCTGCATCAACATTTATTGACCACGGTCAAAGTCAAAATTGAAGATTCAACAATGAAGATCAGGGTCAATTAAAATCCAAAAGTCAAAATTGATGACAGAAATTGACCATGATGTGGGTCAAAATAAGAGACACCAAAAGTCAAAATTGATAGAAAAAAGAAACGAACGAAGACACACCGCAACATTGAAGAGATTGTCAACAAGTGTAGCGTTGGCAGCCAAACTGTATTCGACGTCTAATGGCTTCAGGTGTCGACCAGAGACACATTTTGACCTGACGATGTTGACCGGAGACTGAAACCTCCCATTGGAGCAGGCTGAGTATGTTGGGCTTAGATTCCCCCATTTTTGTGGACCAGAAGGTCCCAAGTAACTGAACTGTGGTCCTCCTCCGTTCACTGTTTGCAAACAAAAAACAATCACAAATTGTATCAGGTTTATGTATCGACTCTTGAGTATTGGTTACAAATTTAATTTCATAAATTAACCCATAAAAGTTGATGAACTTTCATGGCTAGCTACAACATCATGTGTTCGAATCATAACCCCACATAACTCAAAAGCACCCGTATGTCCAATAACCTCTAAATCAACTTAAAATAGCGATAGAAAGTTATTGGTAGCTCACAACTCTCGTATAAACTACATCTGCAACAGAAGAGGAAGTTAAGAATAAAGATTTCTTTCCTAAACCATAGTAGAAGAATACATGCATGCATATATGAATATATATATATATATATATAGAGAGAGAGAGAGAGAGAGAGAGAGAGGGAGTGAGGTGATACCTCCATTGGCACATGATGTGAGGAATAAGATTAATGAGATGGTGAAGAAGGAAAGAGGTTGAGAAGCCATGGATGGTTGGAGATAGAGCTAGAAGAAGATGATGAAGGTGATGGAAATAGGGGTAGCTATATGATGGAATGATGAGTTAGTAATAGACGTTTTTCTTGCATATGACATGTCTAATTGTCGTCTATATATAGAAACAAGAATGCTTTTTGTAGGATAGCCAGGGACCTCTAAACCATGTGATTTACAGGTCAGGATTTCCTTACACTATCACTATGTATACACACACAGACAATAATATTATAATAAAATTTGTATTTGGTTAACGGTACAACTTTGGGGATTGTGTTTAGTGAGAAATAATACAATCAGACTTGGATTTGTGTAAAATTCGTTCTGATTAACAGTGTCGGGTTCCTAAACTGACAACCTTGGTGCTAGTAACATATGAGAATTATTGGTACCCCAAATCACTCTTCAAAAGAGTCCTCAAAAAAGAATTAGAGGTTCCAACGTATATATACGTAACTGGAGGAGAAATAGTCTAAGTCTAGCTGATGTGAGACTCCAAATAGTAAGTAATATTTCAACCCTATAATTGCTTTGGGTATCACAATTACTCGAGGATAAGCCAAATTTCCGCTCACATTTTTTCGTAGAAAATGAGAGTAACACTGAGATCTTGTGTTGTTGGTATGTCAGAATGAGAATGAATACACCTTTTTAAGACATGTCAAACTGGAAATTTTTTATTCGGGTAATATTGTTTTATGAAAAATGCTTCAAAAATCCGAATTTGAAATTTCAAACCCGGTTTAGGATTCAAAAACTGCCGTTTTTGACAGTTTTCGAATTCAATTTCGAATTAGTCATTTTGATTTGGAAAAGATACACAGATTCATAACATTTTCGATTCTCTGTTCGAAAACACTGAATTTTATTCGATTGAAATTCCGATTGTACCATCGAAATACTTCAATCTGAAAGTGTTACACGACTTTCGATGGAATCCAAGCAACCGAAAACCAGAATTTCTAACAAAAGCATATGAGACTGAAGGGGAAGACATCAACTAGCTCCTCTTACATATCAAAAGGGCTCTGTACCTAAACCCCACATGGCCACAACGGGCATATGCGGCGAGTCCAAAACTTATGAGTTTATGTTAATTAGCTTATACAAGTGTATACTTCACACCTTTTAATTTGTGTTGTAACTTAACTAAAAAACAAAGTTAATTCTCTTATAAATATAATGATACGAAATGTAGAGATAACACTAAAGTGCATTTAAGATTTGTAATTAGTTATATAGAAAAATTGTAAGCCATGGAACATGGGTGTTGACTGGTCGCGTATATACCGGATAGAACCTCTCCAATAATGTTAGAACTTGCAGAGGCCCTACCACAATGTCTCTTGGCAATTCCAAGAAAACCCATGCACAATCTTTTTAAAAGCCTTACCTCAAATATTTGATCTTTTCTAAAACTATGATTTGAACCAAAATAATGGGTTTACAACCCTTCCTTACATATGTATGTATATCAAGATTCTAAATGACATGAGTCGTGGAGTGACGGTGAAGTCAACCCTCAAGCTTTATGACGTACGTAGTATATGTGTATATATATATATATAGAATAATCTTGCACTCATGTTTCATCATATGGCGTACGTAGTAGTTATATGTTTTAAAATTAACGATATCTCCCACCACTACCACCGTTGTCGTCCCCTCCACCACCACCACCACTAAAATTCACTATATAATAATCTTACCTCCACCATCATGCATATATATATCCCCACACACTCACCAAAGTCATATTCATCCATAAAGCTGGTCTCTTTGTTTTTGTTTCTTTTTTTTCTTTTTGGTCCTTTTGTTGCCTTCTGATTGTGTTGGAATAAAGTGATCTTAATGGGTGTAAGCAGGGGTTGCCAATGTTTATGGTATCTAATTCCAAATTTATTTCACTTCAAATAGAAACAGACAGGTAACAAACAAGTAGATACATCTGAATTCACTTCAAAACATAACACTTATACAGATGTTTGTTATTCAGCTGGTTATATCTCTTTTCTTATATTCGGTTTTCAACTTTCTTCCAAACTACCTGATAAACAAACCGAACAAGATCAGGTTTGATCGGTTTGGGGTTATTTTTTCAGTAGATTATTTGTCTTTATAACTGAATGGAGTTTGCATTGATGATTTCTACTACTTTTGAATGTGCTCACAACTCTCTAGTGTCATCCATGGTGGTATTATCATTTACATTCCACACAAAGTGTGGTCCAAATTTTTTGAATAAAAAACCAATATGATTGAGTGCATCAATGTCAGGCTAGCTTGAAAATGAAGTTCATTTATATATATATATAGAGGTCGGTTATTATACAACCCTGATCATTTGTGCAACCAATACAACCCAATCTCAACCGTCTATTTCATTTGATTAATATGTGATTTTATAGAGATTTTGATTATTTCCTAATATAAAGTATTAATCATAATTAATGAACCGTATTCATCTTCCATAAATATTTAAATCATAATAAATGAACTCTAATCATTTCCATAAATATTTCAATTTATTGGGTTGCATTGGTTGTACAAATGCGATAGGTTGTATTTGAAATAAACCCTATATATATATATATATCACACTTTTACATATACTCTATATATATATATATATATATATCACACTTTTACATATACTCTAGTTGCATGACTAAATTGAACCAAAAATAGATTGTTGTAAATGTGTTTTAAATAAGATTCTTGGTCTTTGTTATGTTTTTTACTGGGTAAAATTCTTGGCTCATTGATCCAATAAATGCTTGTCGTAGTAAGTGTTTGATAAATAGTCACTTAGTCTCGGAGAATCTAGTGCATGATCTCTGGGTGTCTATTTGAAATGGGCATGGCAAAAAGCTGCAGTTGTGGATGACTCTTTTCTCTTTTGATCTAAGCTTCAGAAATAGGGACCCTACAATCCACTTTGAATCGACTCTGATGTTCATATTCGATAGCTATGAGTTTAAGACTTTCGGTTTATATGAATGGACCTTCGATTTTGGTTTATATGAATTTAAGACTTTCGTTTTATACGAATGGACTTTCGATTTTGATTTATATGAGTTTAAGACTTTCGGTTCATATTCATATGCTTACATGAATGGACGTTTTTTCATTTTTTTAAACTTTCATTTCATAGTTTATCTCGTTTTTTGGCATACACAACAAAAAGAAGGAATGAATATGGTTTAAAACATATGTACAACATATTATTATCAACTATATTTTTTCTTACGAGGTTACTTGAGATTTTCATGACTGTTTTTCAGGGTTTTTTGAATTAGTCGAGATAGGTATAAGTTGAACGAGACACAACATGGATAAAAAAAACACTATCTTTTTGACTTTTTGAAGGATATGATTATTATCCCATTAGAGAATAGAAATGAATTCAGGGCCGTCCCTGGGGGAGGGCGGTACGGGAGCACGCCCAGGGCCCAAAAAGATCAGGGGCCCAAATTTTCCTCTTAAAATATATAGTAGTCTAAAAGAATTTAATAAATTAAAAAAACCAAAAAATTGTAGCATATAATAAAAGAGAAATAATTTAGTAGATAATAAGGGCCCAAAAATATATCAACTAATTACATTGGAGAAGAAAATAAAAAAAATTAATTGGTCATTCATTATATGCTATTGTTTATTGCCCCTCTAATTTTTTTTTATCTCCAACAAGGTCCAATGATGTTGGCTATTGCTATCTCTATATGCTTGACTATTTTCGTGCTTCAACAATTCAACGTTAAGATCATGTGCTCGCTATTGTTATATATTTTTGTTAGATAGTTTTATCAATTTCTATTTTTATTGACTATTGTTATTTGGTTATGTTGTTCTAATTGTTTTTGTTGACTATTGTTATCTATTTTTGTTTCTACGTAAAATATTTTACTTTTTTTTTGACAATTAATCTATTGCTATTATGATTTATGACATGTTTCATGGTTTTGTGATTAATCAATAAATTTTTTCTACTAGATGTATTTAGTAATGTCTTTTATATATGTCATGTTCCATAAACTTTTAATATTAACATCTTATTTTAGTTGAGCAAAAAAAGAAGAAAAATATAATTTAAATATTTTCATCAATTGTTTGACTTATGTATATTTCATTCAGATTCCACCATACCACAAGATTCTATTTAAGTGCTCAAACAATCATTTGTTGAGCTTGCATATTATATATTTAATTCATTATTTATTTTTACTAGATCTCAATGGATCATCTTTTCTTTCATATTCTTATTGATTTTCATTTGTCTACTTGTCGATATTACCTTGATAATCTTCTTTATTATTAATCTCTCATTGACCTCACGATTATTTCATTAACACGAATTCTCTTTTTGTATCAAAATAACACATATTTCTTGTTATAAAGTAAAAATTTCTTACTTTTTATAAAAATTTATTAACCATAGTTTATATACTCTTGGTTTAAAATTACCTAATAAGAAGTACGTAAATTTAAGTACACTTTTATATATATATATATATATATATATAATAAAGATAAATAAGATTTCTTTACTCAGTAAATTATTAGCATTTCTTGTACTCAATTTTATACTAATGAAAAACATCTATTGAATTTTTTTTTGTATTTACTGAAGGTCACTACAAGAAAAGTGAGCTTTGACGATGCGTCTTTTAGCGATGACATGTGTCACAAGTTATAGCGACGACATGTTTTTGTTATATACTATTTCTAATAATAAACGGACTTTTAGCGACAACAAAAGTCGTTGCTAAAAGCCTTGTTTCTTGCAGTGGGGTCCCTGTTTTTATGTTCGTCCAGGGCCTAAAAAATGTCAGGAACGGGCCTGGAAATGATCGTGAAAGATTGATATGTCTCACAAAGTAAAATAGCTTGTGTGAGATGACGTCATATCATATATATATATATATATATATATGAAAACATAGTAATTAAAATTTGAGAATTAATATATTAAATATTTTCGGAAGTTATATAGCAAATCAAACCTCTTCAAGGAAGCAGCCAATAAGGTAGAAGTTGTTAATGCATACATCTACACTCGTTCTAATCATAAGGGTGGTATCTGATTAGTT